GGTTTCATAGCTAACAGACATCGACTAAAAACCACAAAACTTTAATACTTAAAAGCAACAACAATAAAATATCTGTTCAACAGAAATTGAGCTATAAACTTGCTTTTGCGGCATAGCACAGCCACAGTGCTAGTGTCTCACTTTGGTTTCAACAAGGGAGAAATAGGGATATTTTTGCAGCCGTGTAGTGTTATTTAACAGCACTGGAAACACTAGAAACATTAAGGAGCAAAACAGCCAGGATACACGACGTAGAACGGATACATGAACAAGGGAAACTCAGGACGTAAAAACAGAGGTAAATGAGAAAACTCAATAATCAACAGGTGAACTTAATCAGACTAACAGGCCAAACACAGGGAAACTTCCGGAAAGAGTCGGAAATCGCCCCCGATACCTTCAAACACGAATGCACTCATTCAATCCCACATTGCACTGCAATAACGAGTGTACAACCGATGTACGCTCAACGGCTAGAGAATACCCATAATGCACTGTGACAGTCGCACCGAATTAATTCCCGCATCTCGCCAGAAGATGGCGCCCGCAGTTGAATCATCCATGCATTGTCCAAACCGCTCTTAAAGGGATAGTTCACTTTGAAATTTATTTTTGATATGTTTTAGCTTACCTCAAGGGCATCCAAGATGTAGGTGTCTTTGTTTACGCAGTAGTTTCAATTTTGATATTTTTAGGTCAAACCGTTCTTGTGTGTCAGTCATATAATGCAGGTCTATGGTCACCACCTCAAAGAGCATGACCAGAGAAGTCCAAATTAAACATGATTTAATGACTCGTAAATGTAAGTACACATTGATGGCCTAAGACACGAAACGAGCGGTTTGTGTGAGAAAACGAACAGTATTTATATCGTTTTTACCTCTTGTAAACACAGCCACGTCCAAGTGATCTGAGGGCGCCGGCGCTTCGGTCTGTGGTTACAAGAGGTAAAAACGATATAAATACTGTTCGTTCTCTCACACAAACCGCTCGTTTCGTGTCTTAGGCCATCAATGTGTACTTACATTTACGGTTTGACCTAAAAATATCAAAATGGAAACTTCTGCGGAAACAAAGACACCTACATCTTGGATGCCCTTGAGGTAAGCTAAAACACACCAAAAATGTATTTCAAAGTGAACTATCCCTTTAAAATGTGGCTACAGCGTAATATCATACAGGTATAAATTCATTTTTACTTGATTATTAAAATGTTTAATTAGTTAAGCTTCATACATGCTAGTTTCCAGAGTTCAAGATCAATCTTTTCATCTTACTACTGGAGCTGGCAGTTTGCCAAGTGTCAAATGATTATTAAACGTCACAAACTATGCAAAAGCGACAGATCTTCCAGGGCACTCAGTGTCCGAATTCACTCACTCGTTTTCATTCTCTTCAAGTGGACTATATTAGTGCAGTAATGTAGGGAACAGGGAATGAGGGTGTAGGGGTCAGCCTAGGTCAGGATGCACATGGCAGGGAAACAGAACAGAGCCAGACCAAATACTGTGAAAGCTAGCAAGTTGTTCATGGTTGCAGGACGTTGCTATGCAGTTTCTAAGGATTGATTGTGATTGTTAGATCATAAAGTCAGGTTGTGGGAGTCCCATTAATTTTGTCCATAGGGGAATTGATTTTTAACAATAACTTCAAAGACACATCTACACCTACTGTGAGCTATAAGAGGTTAATCAGGGGTAATCGTTTTTGTTAAAGCCATCATTCCACTATAATTCAACACTCTTCTAAAATAGTGTGATCAAAACTGGAATTCCTTTTGAGGAACTACATCACCCATTATTCTGCAAACAAACCCGCAAATCTCGCCAAAATAACAGTCAAATGTCATAATAGAGTTTCCCTACGCTCACAAACTACTGAAATATATTTGTATATACTGTATTAGCATAACATATGTTGTTTCTAAAGACACTATAAAAATTGTAATGCAATAGTTTTGTACTGCTCTATCGTTTTTAATTTGTTAATGTCATTCGTAATGCTTAATTGGATTGTACAGTCCTTCTTTTCCTCATTAAAGCTGTTCAGTACACATTATTGTCAGATTTTAAGTTTGAAATGTTGCAATTCCCCTCACAGCAGGTTTGATTGGTTCATGGCTTATAACTCTTTAAAGACATTTTTCCAGAAATAATGCTTCTGTAACCAATGAAGCTGAAAAAGTGGACGGGCCAATATCTAGATATGGCTCAGGTCAATGTAAATATGAGGGATTTTCTTTTCACCTTTTTTATCGTCCGTCAGTTGAAAACCAAATTTGGAATTTTATTATATACCTGAACCCAAGTATTAATAATGATGAACACTACCCTTAGTAAGCACTACTAATGATTGTATAGACCAGTTTAACTGCATAAAGCAGCTGATGGGTTATCCATCATATTGCGCTTTTATTGTATTTATTCATCTATTTTACTAGGCTTAAGCACGATACTCCATTATTGTAAATTCTGCTCCATTGCATTTTGATTGAACGATGCCCTTTAGTGTCTTTGTGCGTTTGCATGTATTTGCATGTGTGTGTGTGTGTGTGTGCACTACTGTTCGTGTTTATGTTGTGTTATAAAGGTGACCTGACACGAGGTTCACCTCTCTCTCTGCTGCTATAATTTTCTCTCTTTCATGAATCAGAATAAATTATTGACATTTCTGTAATGAAGCCGCTGGTGGTTTAGTGTTTAGCATAGTCTATCAACCTCCTACACACACACACACACATACACAAACACTCACGATTCTCATGACTCATGAATATTAGCTTTCATAGACTTTAACCGAGCACTGAGTACAGTGCAAACACCATGGATATGTTCAGAATACTATAGTACCATACTACACATACACTATTTTGCAGTATGTATATTGTGCACAGTTTGCAAATTGGTTTTATGCATGGAATACCTGAATGACCTACTACAGTACATTTAAAATATTATTTTTTTCCCTATAATCAGGGTTATTATAGTAAAACTAAAACCATAAAAAACATTTTACCTTATTCAATTCCAGTATTCCCACTACCTTTTTTTTTCTTCTCATCTATCAATGTCATTGGTTTTTACTCTTGCATATCTCACTGTAAAGACTGACATGTCTTTCATTCGATCCGGTGTAAAGTTAGTGGTTCTCTGTCTCGTATGGAGGACGCGTCACAGTCTGTCACCTCTCCTTTAGCTTGAATACAAACAGACTTCAGACAGCTTCCGATAGCGAGAGGTTAAGAAACTCACGACCCTGTTATGTTAATCTCCTTCTCCCTCTGCTGTTTACTTTCATTTGAGAGCGTGTTCTCAGAAATTGCCCAGTTATTTATGTCATTAATCACTGCCTGTAAGATACAGCGCTGTGGAGGAAGGCGTTAAGCTCAGGCCTGTAGGCTCCTGAATTCTCCATCATGCTCTGTGCGATCTGAAGCTATGGAGGTGTTTGTACTGAATTAGATCAAAGTGGGCTCGTGTAAGGATTACAGAGGCGAGAAAAATGCAGCAGGGATAATATTGACAATGCTAACGGAGAAGTGGGGAGAAACAAGCCGATGTGGAAGGCAACAAGGATTTCTACTTGATTTTAAGAGCATTGCACTGTGGGCTATATGTGTAACTACTGATCTTTTGTGGAGATGTGGAGATTCATTGTTGTTGTTTTCGTTTGCCATGTAATACCTCAGCGTTTTTCGAATTTAACTATAAAGCAAATGTTTTATTTAATTGTAAGTCAAGATGTTACATTTATTACATTTTGTGGATAATTAACGTGCATGTTATACCAAAGGGAAAAGAAAAGTTTGTCTAAAACAAGATTCTTCACATCGGCGGATGTCATCAGGCCCCACACGGCTCTATTATGTAGGTCAGTGACTATGGCCCTGTTTACACCTGGTATTAAGATGTGTTCTGGTCGATCGGATCACAAGTGGACGAGGGAGACTCATTCACGTTCACACCTGGAGTTTCAATCCGTCTCTTTTGTCCACTTTCAAACACTTTGTCCTGATTTCTTCGAGGGGAGGGTCTATGGGCGGGTAAATGTGTGTGTTTTTTCAGATCCTTCGATCTAATGGACAAAATAAGCTTGTGCAATTTACATATAACCGTCTACAGGGGTCCTCTCTATGATGTAATTTTTAATAAAATATAGTCAATAACAAAAGGTTATACAAAACTACTTAATAAGGTTTATTTTAAATAATATTTAGGCATTGGTTTTTTTTAACGTTATATCAGGACAGTTGTATCACATTTTTGACTTCACTGTATGTCCCAAAATATCAAAATAATTATGAATTCAGAAATTAAAAACATTCTCATCACAGAAGAGCTGTAATCAAGTCATTTGATGTATAAATTACATTTTTAATACACTGACAGCGGTAGTCACTCATCCCTAATTATCGCCATGACAACAGAATGATGAAGCGACTTTGGTTGGAAGGGAAGTACTTTTCGGATTTCCAGTCCTTCTAAATCTTTGTTTTTAGTTGATGTTTATTATTTCCTTCGTTTCTAAGTGTCTCCGACACTCGACAGGACTTGCTGTTTCTCCATTGTTGAATCTACGCCTATTATTGACACAAAACTGATCGCTATCTCCCAGCGTATCACCAGAATATCGTTTATCTTTGTTGTCTTTTTTGGAGCCTTTTTGTGGGAAAAGGTATTGACAACGGAGAATAACAGGAGGCTGCTGCCAATTTAGACAGGGTTCCTTGGAGAGTTGAGCACATTTATTAGCCTGATCTACTGCCAGAGATCCCATCAGAGTGATAAGAGGATGGACAGAGCCTGACGTTTGGACTGGAAACACGAGGAGGCCAAACGCTCGGGAGATTACAGGATGAGACGGATTAGAGGCCATGAGATTATGAGATATTAGCTTTGATAATGGACTATATGTGTTTTGTCAGTGATAATATAAGAATTCAAATCTGTCTCTGACTAACAAGATTCTCACATCTCTCTCTCTCTCTCTCTGTCACACAGATGCAGATCTTCATGTATAACTCGGACGACTTTGACAGTCTCAACACTGCCATACGGGAGAAGCGAGTAATTGCGGCCATGTCTGTCTTCTTTCAGGTGAGAACTCGCTCGTTTCGAAAGCGTCTTCATGTTCGGCTGCTGAGCTGTGTCAGTGTTAAGTGCTAGCATTAAAAAGCATTGATTTTGTAAGGAGGTTTTCTCTCGTCCCATTAAGTTTAGTGATACTGAAGCTTCACACTCACAGAGAACCCACCGCCTCTGTTTTCTGTATGGGAAAACACACACAATTCTCCAATTCCGTGCAGTTCTTTTGTCAACCCCGCTGCGATAATCACAAAACAGCAATTTAAGGCTCACAGTCTTTTACTGGGAATTGTGTGTGTGGGTTTGTATTCTCATCTCTCAAATTTTGAGAAATTACACATCTGTCAGTGCAGTCAGGCCGCAATAATCCAGAGTTCAAAAGACTCAATCAACCACTTCAAAAAAACAACAGTGAGTGAGTGAGTGAGTGAGTGAGTGACTGAGTGAGTGAGTGAGTGTGTGACTGAGTGAGTGAGTGACTGAGTGACTGAGTGACTGAGTGACTGAGTGACTGAGTGAGTGAGAGTGACTGAGAGTGACTGAGAGTGACTGAGAGTGACTGACTGAGTGACTGAGTGACTGAGTGACTGAGTGACTGAGTGACTGAGTGACTGAGTGAGTGAGAGTGACTGAGAGTGACTGAGAGTGACTGAGAGTGACTGACTGAGTGACTGAGTGACTGAGTGACTGAGTGAGTGAGTGAGTGACTGAGTGACTGAGTGACTGAGTGACTGAGTGACTGAGTGAGTGTGTGAGTGAGTGAGTGAGTGAGTGTGTGAGTGAGTGAGTGAGTGAGTGAGTGAGTGAGTGAGTGAGTGACTGAGTGAGTGAGTGAGTGAGTGAGTGAGTGAGTGAGTGAGTGACTGAGTGACTGAGTGACTGAGTGACTGAGTGAGTGACTGAGTGACTGAGTGACTGAGTGACTGAGTGACTGAGTGACTGAGTGACTGAGTGACTGAGTGAGTGAGTGAGTGAGTGAGTGACTGAGTGAGTGAGTGAGTGAGTGAGTGACAGTGAGTGAGTGACTGAGTGAGTGAGTGAGTGAGTGACAGTGAGTGAGTGAGTGAGTGAGTGACAGTGAGTGAGTGACTGAGTGAGTGAGTGAGTGAGTGAGTGACAGTGAGTGAGTGACTGAGTGAGTGAGTGAGTGAGTCCCATCATTCTATGAACTGAGCGACACTGTCAAAATGTCCTTCTTACTGGGAGAAGATGTTAATACAGCTGCACTAGCGGCTAAATATGTGCTAGCTAATCACAACGCCAGAGACAGCTAATTCTCCAGAGTGATCAAATGTATTTATTTATCTATTTATTAAGATAGATTGTGTTTATTTATCTATATATTTACAATGCTACATATGACATGATTTATACATATATGTTCACTGTTTGTTTTATTATTTATATTTAATATGCTTTGGCAACATTGTGTTACACAGTCATGCTAATAAAGCTAATTTGAAATTGAGTGAGTGAGTGAGTGAGTGAGTGAGTGAGTGAGTGAGTGAGTGAGTGAGTGAGTGAGTGAGTGAGTGAGTGAGTGAGTGAGTGAGTGAGTGAGTGAGTGACTGAGTGAGTGAGTGAGTGAGTGAGTGAGTGAGAGAGTGACAGTGAGTGAGTGAGTGACAGTGAGTGAGTGAGTGAGTGAGTGAGTGAGTGAGTGAGTGAGTGAGTGAGTGAGTGAGAGAGTGACTGAGTGACTGAGTGACTGACTGACTGACTGACTGACTGAGTGAGTGAGTGTGTGTGTGTGAGTGAGTGACTGAGTGAGTGACTGACTGACTGACTGACTGACTGACTGAGTGACTGAGTGACTGACTGAGTGAGTGAGTGAGAGACTAAGTGAGAGACTGAGTGAGAGACTGAGTGAGTGAGTGAGTGAGTGAGTGAGTGAGTGAGTGAGTGAGTGAGTGAGTGAGTGAGTGAGTGAGTGACTGATTGAGTGAGTGAGTGAGTGAGTGAGTGAGTGAGCGAGCGAGTGAGTGTGAGTGAGAGAGTGACTGAGTGACTGAGTGAGTGAGTGAGTGAGTGAGTTTGTGTGAGTGAGAGAGTGACTGAGTGAGTGAGTGAGTGAGTGAGTGAGTGAGTGAGTGAGTGAGTGAGTGAGTGAGTGAGTGAGTGACTGAATGACTGAGTGACTGAGTGACTGAGTGAGTGAGTGAGTGAGTGAGTGAGTGAGTGACTGAGTGACTGAGTGACTGAGTGAGTGAGTGAGTGAGTGAGTGTGTGTGAGTGAGTGAGTGACTGATTGAGTGAGTGAGTGTGAGTGAGTGAGTGAGTGAGTGAGTGAGTGTGAGTGAGTGAGTGAGTGAGTGACTGAGTGACTGAGTGAGTGAGTGAGTGAGTGAGTGAGTGAGTGAGTGAGTGAGTGAGTGAGTGAGTGAGTGAGTGAGCGAGTGAGTGAGTGTGAGTGAGA